GGGATTTCATTGGACTGACTTCTTCTGGGTTGCATAAAACAGGTTTCCCTCCCACTCACTCTGGTTTAATTCCCGTATCAAGCGACAGGTTTCCCAAGCAAACATGCAGGCCTGATTTCAAACACAGAAACACAAAAAGGTACATATCCAATATCCCAAACATGGTTAAAAGGCCGTTCGTTTGTTTGTTTGTTTTACAAGAAGCAAGGGCCCTTAAGAGTCCCTCAAACACGAAAATGCTTCTATGGACCCCAGAATATGGAGCTGGGCGAAGACTTCGTTCTTTTTGTAAAGTCTGGAATTGACTCTCCTAGTCAATTTCAAGGGAAATTTTGAACCCAGGTTTAATTTTGAACTGAGCCTTGTCCAGACTTAATAGTGTCTCCCTGCTTTCTCCCAACCCACCAGCCCCCCACCCCCACCCCCCAAGCCAAGTTTGGGGGAGGAGAGCAAAGCTCATTCCAGCCCTGGATATGTTTGCTCAGATATAGAAATCCCCCTCAGGTGGTTGAATGAGAGAGAAGAGGTTTTTCCTCTGTTAAAGTGGTTTCGCCTCTCCTTTTGCAAATTGCCCAACGGGTGTACGGAAGAGTTTGGGAAGTCATACCTTCTTGCTGGGAAGATCCACAACTTGCCACACCAACAGAATTAGTTCCCTCTCATCCGACCCCAGCTTAGCCCCATTTCCACCAGCGGATGCCCCAAACAAGACCACCAAACAGTCACTGTGCGGAGAAGAAGCCGTCATGACCACAGAAGGGGGGGAAGAGCTACAATCAAAAGCACAGGTAAAGGAGAGGAGGAAAAAAGGAGGAGGAAGAGAGAAGGGAGAGAGAGAGAAAAAAGAACAAAAAATAAATAAAAGAAAAGGAGAGAGAGAAAGAGAGAGAGAGAAAGAGAAAAAGTATAAAACAAGCCAAACACAAAAACTTACAAATAAAGGGCACCCCCATTCCCCAAGTGATCAAAGGGAAGATATAAAAAAGTCACTCTCAGAAAAGCCAGAACTATGGGGAAAGGGAACAGGGGAAAGGTAGCTAAGATTCAAATAACATTTAATAAAAGGGGGAAAATATCTGTTTGCCGTTGTACCTGTATTTTAGGTGAGCTCTTTCTCCCCAGCTCTAAGTGGGGGATAAAATTTAACAGGCAGTCCGTTTGTCTCCCTCTGACATCATGGCAGGATCCCAGCCTAGGTTTTAAAAAAAAAAA